TCAAAACAAATGCAACAAAGATTAGAAGAGAAGCAGAAAGCTGAGGAACAATTTTTACAACCAATGTCCCTGATAAAGGCCTCATTTCTGAAATATGTAGAGAACTGAGTCACATTTATAAGGATACAAGTCATTCCCCATATGAGAAATGGTAAAAAGACATGAATAGGCAATTTTCAGAAGAAGAGATTAAAGCTATCTATACTCATATGAAAAAATGCTCTAAATTGCTATTGACCAGAGAAAAGCACATTAAAACAACTCTAAGGTACCGACTCACACCTACCAGACTGGCTAACATGACAAAACAGGAAAATTATAAATGTTGGAGATGATGTAGGAAAATTAGAACACTAATGCATTGTTGGCAGAGTTGTATATTGATCCAACCATTCCAGAGAGCTATTGGGAACTATGCCCAAAGGGATACAAAACTGTGAATAACATATTACCCAGCAATACCACAGCTAGGTCTGTAAGCTAAAGAGATCATAAAATGGGGAAAAAAACCCACATGTACAAAGATATTTAGAACAGTAAAAAGTGTGCTTGTGGTCACTCATAGACCAGAGCACAGACCAGGAAAGGAGTAAACACCTCACCCTTAATCATAGCACCTTGGAAGAATTGCAAATTTTCAGGTCCCTAGAAGTATCTCTGAAAACAGCTGCACAAAACCCCCAAAGCTGGGGACAGTACATTCTCCACACCGGAAGCAGACTCCTACCTTAACAAAGACTTTGCAACTCAAAGAATTAGCTGGGATCACGAGTGAGCAGTGCAAAAAGAGTCAGACCATAGAATCTTTATTTGGAAACAAAGAAGATCAAAACATACAATCAGAAGAAGACAGCAAAGTCAAAGTTCCTACATCCACATCCTCCAAGAAAAATATGAATTGTCCCAGGCCATGGAAGAGTTCAATAAAGATTTTGAGAAGCAAGTAAGAGAAGTAGAGGAAAAACTGAGAGTGATGCAAGAAATCATGAAAAACCAAGTCAACAGCTTGCTAAAGGAGACCCCAAAAAAATACTGAAGAAAATAACATCTTAAAAAATAGCCTAACCCAAATGGCAAAAGAGGTCCAAAAAGCCAATGAGGAGAATGCCTTAAAAAGCAAAATTGGCCAAATGGAAAAAAAAGTCCAAAAGTTTACTGAATAAAACTCTTCCTTAAAAATTAGAATGGAACAATTGGAAGCTAGTGACCTTATGAGAAACCAAGACACTGTAAAAGAAATCCAAAAGAATGAAAAAAAAAGAGAAAACAATGTGAAATATGTCATTGCAAAAACAACTGACTTGGAGAATAGATCCAGGAGAAGAATTTAAAAATTATTGGACTATGTGAAAGCCATGATCAAAATAAATAAATAAATAAAAATAAAAGCCTAGACATCATCTTAGGAATCATCAAGGAAAACTGCCTTGATATTTTAGAACTAGAGGGCAAAATAGAAATTGAAAGACTCCACAGATCACCTACTGAAAGAGATCCCCAAAGGAAAGCTCCTGGGAATATCGTAGCCAAATTTCAGAATTCCCAGGTCAAGGAGAAAACATTGCAAGCAGCCAGAAAGAAACAATTCAAGTACTGTGGAAACACAATCAGGATAACACAAGATTTAGCAGCTTCTACATTAAGGGACCAGAGTGCTTAGAATATGATATTCTGGAGGGCAAAGGAGGTAGGATTACAATCAAGAATCACTTACCCAGCAAAACTGAGTATAATCCTTCAGGGTAAAAAGTGGACCTTCAGTGAAATAGCAGACTTTCAAGCATTCTTGATGAAAACACTAGAGCTAATTAGAAAATTTGACTTTCAGATACAAGACTCAGGAGAAACATGAAGAGGTAAACAGGAAAGAGAAATTATAAGAGACTTATTAAAGTTGAACTGCTTACATTCTGCATGGAAAGATGATATTTGTAACACATGAGTCCTTTGTCAGTATTAGAGCAGTTGGAGGTGAATATATATACATATATATGTGTGTGTATGTAATGGATAAATGGATAGATAGATAGATAGACAGATGATACAAGGTAACATGAAAGGGGGATATCTGGAGAATAAAATTAAGGCATGAGAGAGGATTATACTGGGAGAAGAAGAAATGGGGAGGTAGAATGGAGTAAATTATCTCATATAAAACAGACAAGAAAAGGCTTTTACAGCGGAGGGGAAACAGGGGAAGGTGAGAGGGAATGAGTGAATCTTATTCTCATTGGATTTGGCTTGAGTAGAGAATAACATACACATCAATTGGGTATAGAAATCTATCTTACCCTACAGAAAATGGGAGGGAAGGGGACAAGAGAGCAAGAGGATGAGAGAGGGGAGGGCAGATGGAGGAGGGGATAATCAGAAGCAAACACTTCTAAGGAGGGACAGTGTCAAAAAGGGAATAGAATAAATGGGGGGTAGGATGAAGGGAAATATACTTAGTTTTTCACAATATGACTACTATGGAAGGGTTTTGCATGACTACACATATATTACTCATCAATATGCTTGACTTCTCAATGAGGGTGGATGGGGAAGGAGGAAGGGAGAAAATTTGGAACCTAAAATTTTTAAAACAAAAATTTAAAAAAAATGTTTTCACATGCAACTGGGGCATAATATATACATTAAATGGGCATAGAAATCTATCCTGCCCTACAGGAAAATTGAAGGGGAAAGAGATAAGAGAAGGGGGGAGAGATAGAAGGGAGGGCAGATTAGGGGTATTCAGAATGCATGCCATCTTGGGGTGGAGGGAGGGACAAGATGGGGAGAAAATCGGAACTCAAAATCTTGTGGAAGTGAATGTTGAAAACTAAAAATAAATTAATTAAAAATTAAGAAAAAAAATTAAGAAGAAAAAAAGGGTGTATATATGAAAACTAATTGGAAAGCAAAATGCTTTTTTTCATCTAGGTCAGGCTAGATTCTGTTCTATTGAATATTATAGTATGTCTCCTTATCTTATATGGATTATTACTTCAAGTAGATTAGACATTTACAATTTGTCTGCAATGTACTGAAGTGGTTTTTTATAACCTAAGCGATTTACAAATTATGAATAAAGTTTTGCATGCCCTTATGGGGAAAAGTCATAGAAGCATTTGAAACGATAAAATGTTTTATCAGGGAGGTAGACAACAGATGATGAATACTACTGTAGCTAACTTGCCATATTATTCATGTTCTGATTAAAAAAATACTTAAAATCAATGGTATTAAAACATGAAGTAGCATGGTCTTTTAGAAGAGACAGAATTTCAGAGGGCATTTCAAACCCTTCACTTCATTTGTAAATAGAAACAAAAGGAAACTGAGGTTCAAAGAGATGAAGGAGGTAGTTAGTGGCAGAGGCAGTACTAAACCACTGGTCCTAAATCCTTCCTGGCTTATCTATCTACACAACAGCCTTGTCTTTGTTGAGAAGGATATCTTTTGGATATCTTTGACTTGTGGCCTTTATCATTCATCGGTTCATAGTATCATCCATGTTGATTTGTGTAGGAAGATGATATTGCACAATTAAAATTATGGTTGCACAAAGAGCAAATACAGTATCAATTTTTAGAGAGCAGGATACCTTGTGGCTTTTCTACCATAAACCTGAATTAAAATATCAAAGTAACCAGAAGAAATATCTAGGGTGGTGATCAACCCCAGAATATCATCATTTGCCAACGTACTAGAAAACTCATGAATTCTGGTTTTTTTTTTTGGTAAAATTGGGGTTATTCACAATTAATGGGTACAAAAGAATGAAATAAATAATGGTAAGAAAGCAAATGTTGGTTTCAGGGAAGTGAAAAAGACTACTAGGCCCCAGGACCAGGGCTCTAGCATACTCATTTTTAATGTAAATGCCTGGTTCCCTTGGACAATATGATTTACAAAAAAAAAAAAACATGCAAAAGTTTCACTATTAGTAAAAGTCAAAGAAAACAGTTGTCACTTTATTATTACTCTAAGGTTCACTACAAAACAATGAAGATATGAGGTTTATGACAATAGCTCAATGATTCCTCAAAAGTTCAAAAGAACTCAGAGATCACCAATTTTGAGTCTAATAAAGGGATAAGCGATGCCATTACTGCTGCAGTTACCAATCAAATGATGAATTTTTACCATTTTTTTTTGATGAACAGAAAATGAGGTGGAAAAAATAAATGTCTCATAGTGAAAGATGAGTATTTGAAGGAAAGCAGATATATTTTGTAATAGCAAATAATTGTAATTAATTTTTCTTTTTATTCCTATCCCTAGTTCTTTTAACATTTTACAATTCTAACATTAATATATTTATACATACATTATGATTTTGGCTTGTATAGAAAATGTTATTGGTTACTATATATTTCATAAAGTCAATGTTTACATTCTGATATCTTCCTTGAACATATTTATGAATAGCTTTATCTATCACTAATAAGCCATACTCTTCAATGTCCTTATATTTAATTGTGTTCTAGACTATAACTTTTTCTTGATTAACTTCATAGACACTACATCTTCAATGAGATTACTTAGTATAATTGTTTTTATTAAAATTGGATTAAGAATTTTTTAAAAATGTGCTCAAAATTTTATATGTAGTTAACATGTAAAACTATTATTGAGGAACAGAACTTCACTTTTTTGAACTTCAATGTTTGTCATAACAATTTCATGTATGTAGCTATAGATAAGACTGCTTTACAAATGAACAAAATGAGGGAAAGTGAGGTTCAGTTGTCACATGACTAGCTATAGGGAATTAAAATATTTTATTGGAATATAACCTTTTTAGGCAGTAGTAATGTATACTTAAAATTAAATACTGTCTTTTCTGCCATTGTGATTTCTCATTTCTTCTAAGGAAGGTTTACATAGGTCATCTCTTCCTGATATATAATGTAATGTACAGTAGTTAAGAGGGCATGATAACTCTTTCCTTTTAGCTCTGCTAGCATGAGCATGTCATCGAAGCTTTGTGCTCCTCAGTTTCATCACCATTCAAATGAGAGCAACCAGAATATCCACACTATCTTTCACACAAGGTAATAGGTCAACTGATTTAAAAAAAAAGTCTTATAAATGTGAGATGAATTTATTATTACAAGCCCAGATCATTAAGATTCCAAATGGCCCAGCGGTAGGATTAAATGTTAGGAGGTAAGTCAGAAAATCTTCTCCTGTCTAAAGTTTAACTACCTGAATCACAAAGTGATGCAAATACTGACCAAAAATCTATGGTTATATGCATTTCCTTTCAAATCTCTATTCCCTGGTCCCTCTAAATCCTGTGGGTTTTGTATTTTCTTTAGAATAAAGCAAAAGCTTTATGAACCTTTTAAAATTTTGAAAAGGTTTAAAATGTATATATTTCCAAAGCTTGGATAAGTGATTTACAGAGTTCTAAAAAAGAATGTGGGCTCTGCTCTCTTGTTCTTTTTCTGTTCTATCTTTATATATTCATACAGTCCCTCTGTCCGTGTGTGTATGTAAGTATGGGTACGCATGCTACAGTTATAGGAGTCTCATATTTATTATTTATTTTTTCCATATTTAAGAATCAGAAATAAATTATATTGCTAAATATAATACATTTTAAAAGTATTAAAGACTTTTCATATAATTTGGTTAAATATATTTAGAATAATTTAGAAACCTGAAAATTGTATTGAAGCCTACATAAAGAAATTTTTGGATAAAGCAGATAATAATAACACAAAAGATCTTGTGGCTGTTTTTAGTAAATGGCTTCAGGATAGTGAACCTACAAGGATAATTAAGTAACTAATCAAAAATAAATAAGTTCCTACCCATTTAAAGTATAAAATGGAAACAGAAAAAAGTATATATGAATTTTAAGATTGCTCTTTCATTATTTTCTAAAGTCACTATTTCTTCAGGTTTTTAAGTCTTACCTATTTGATCCATGGCAGCTGCACCCAAAGTAAATTCTGGATCAAAAGCACTCTCTGAACTGCTGGTTAGGGTTGAATGGGACTGATAAAGTCCCTTCTGTCTTCCATACTCAGTAATTAGTTTATAATGACTATGTATAAAATAAAATATAAAACATATTAAGTCTACATCAACAAAGATAAAAATTATATGCACCAAGTATTGGTGTATCTCAAACCTTACATAATCAGATTATCACCAAAAAAAAATGTTGTTTTCATAAAGTCTGTAGAGCATAACCAATCATTCAATCTAGATGTGATACACTTATCTTAAGAGTCACAATATTATAGAACTGTAAGTTTAGGACTGAAAGGGTCTATATTTGTCATCTACTCTAATCTCTTTATTTTATAGATTAAGTAACTGAGTCCCAGAGAAGGTAACAGTTGTCCAACATTACACATATAGTGAGAGGCATGATTTGTCCCCAGGTCCTCTGACTCCAAATTGAGCACTCTTTCCCCTGTACCAAACTGCCACTCTATAAATTCTAATGTTGACTATTAATATTTATGATTTATTCTTTTCATTTATCACTCCTTTGAAGGCATCTAAGACATATTGTGATTTTCCCTAAAACTAACTTTAGGTCTACTATAACTGAGAGGTGTCAGCAAAGGTTAAAAAACAAACAAACAAAAATTACCTCTCTAAATCAGACAGTATAATAAATTACAGAACTTTTGTGAAGATCAAATAATAAAGTGTATGTAAAACATTGGAAAACCTTAAAGAATTATAAAAATGGCAGGTTTCATCATTATTATTTCTGAAAATTCTGATCTCAGATTACCTGACTCTACTTTGTACCCTGTCTCTTGCTCATGTCCTCCTAAATTTGGACAACCTAACTTTGCCATTTGCCCAATTTCTTCTTAGTGACTTGAAGTATGCTTGTCAGATGCTTGCTATTTTATGCAACTATGAAAGTCCCTGGCAGTCTCAAGTATACGGGGAAAAAAACCTTTTAAATGCAATTGTATAAAGATAATTAGAACTATAATGTTAGAACTTACATTGGGCGACAGCTGATTTTGGCATGCTCGTAAACTGTCCGTCGAGATTTATCTCGGCAAGAGACATCAACATCATATTGAAGAAGAAGACTCACTATGCCTACTGGTTCACCAATGGCAGCATGCATGATGGGTGTCCTATAATAACAAAGAAACAATTTACATTTAAGAATTTAAAAAGTCATATCTAATCAGATTTTTTTATGTTTCAACAAGAGAATATCTCATATTCTTTAGAGTGAATATCCATGTGGAGCATGCTTAGTGATGGATATGAGTACTTTTATTGCTTATGTGAAGCAGGAAAAATGCAATTAAAAGCAGAAGAAAAGAAAGAAAGAATTTTTTTTGTCCCCTTAGAGTTTTTATGGGGATTGTCAAATTTAAGGCTTCATAATAGACAAGTAGACAGTTTGTCAAAGCCTTGTGTGTGCAACAGTTAAGGACTTTCTCCTGGGATCCTACACAGTTTTCATAAGGAGAAAACCAGAATTAAACCAAAAATTTGATCTCCAGTATCAAGATCCAAGAGAAGCATAAACAGGGAAAAAGAGAAAACGTAAGGGAATCAGTAGAGCTAAACTGTTTACATCCCTACATGGTAAGATAATACTTTGATTCTTAAAAATCATGTCAATAATAGTACAGCTAGAAGGAACATACATAGACAGAATTATGAATATAAGGTGAATTTGAGGGAATAACATGAAAATAATTAAGCTATGACAAAGAGGAGTATACTGAGTGCAGAAGGAAGGGAGAGATTGAATGTGTTAAATTTGAGAAGATAAGAGGGTGCCCGATGGCCATTGATTGAACCTTACTGTCATCAATATTGGCACAAAGAAGGAATAATATAGACAATCATTTGAATATAGAAATCTATGTTACCGAACAGGGAAGTAGGAGGGGAGAATATGAATTAAGGTAGGAGGAGGGTATGGGAGAACTGACAGAAGGGAGGGCAGATCAGGGGAGGTGTTCAACAGAAGCAAAACACTGGTGAAGAGGTAAAGGGTGAAAGGAGAGAGAGGACAAACAAGAAGAAAAATAGGATGGAGGGAAATTCTCAGTTAATAATCATATTCATGAATGTAATTGGCATGAACTCTCAAAAATGGAAGCAGGTAGGAGAATGGATTCAGAATACTAAATATGGACGTAGGAGAATGATTAAAAACCAGAATACTACAATATGTCATTTGCAAGAAACACATTTGAAACAGAGAAATACACACAGAGCAGAGGTATGAGATTGGAGCATAATACATTATGCTTCAGCTTAAGTGTAAAAGCAGGAGTAGCCATCCTGATCTCAGAAATATTAAAAGCAAAAATAGATCTAATTACAACAGATAAGGAAGGAAACTACATCTTGCTAAAAGATACCATAGACTATGAAGCAATATCAATTCTAAACATATATGTACCAAGTGGTATAGCATCCAAATTCTTAAAAGAGAAGTTAAATGAGTTAGAGAAAGAGATAGACAGCAAAGTTATGCTAGTGGCGGACCTCCACTGCTTCCTCTTAGAACTCAATAAATCCAACCAAAAAATAAACACTCAAGAAACTAAAGAGGTAAATAGATTATTAGAATAGTTAGATATGACAGAGCTCTGGAGAAAACGGAATGGGAACAGAAAGGAATATACCTTTTTCTTGACAGCATATGTTACCTAAGCAAAAAAACTGACCATGTATTATGGCATAAAAACTTCAAAACCAAAAGTAGAAAGGCAGAAATATCACATGTATTCTTTTTAGATTATAATGCAATTAAAGCCACTTTCACCAAAGGGTGCGAGAAAGACAGATTAAATGTTAATTGGAAACAAAATAATCTAATCCTAAACAATAAGCAGGTCAAAGAATAAATCATAGAAACAATCAGTAATTTCATTAAAGAGAATGACAACCATGAGACACCATACTGAAATGGATGTGATACAGCCAGAGCAGTGCTTAGGGGAGAAATTATTTCTCTAAATTTTTACTTCAACAAAACATAAAAAAGATGGGATCAATTAATTGCTTTCCCAACTAAAATAAATAAACAAAAGAAAAGGAAACTAGAAAAAATGAATAAAAAATCCCCAACTGAACCAAATGCCAAATTCTGAAAATCAAAGGTGAGGTAGTAAGATTAAAAGCAAAAAACAAAAACAAAAACTACTGAGCTAACAAATAAATCTGGAAGCAAGCTTTATGAAAAAAGAAGAAGACAGATAAGCTATTGATTAATTTGATTGAAAAAAAAAAGAAAGAAAGAAGAAAAACAAACTACCAGTATCAAAAATGAAAAGGGTGAAATCATCATCAAGGAAGAAGAAATTAAAGCAATCATTAGGAAATACTTTGCCCAATTATGTGTCAATAAATCTGACAATCTGAGCTAAATCAATGAATATTTTTGAAAATATAAATTACCCAGATTAATAGATCAGGAAACAGAATGCCTAAATAAATCCATCTTAGAAAAAGATACTGAACCAGCCATTAATGAATTCAGTATGAAAAAATCCCCAAGGGCCAGAGTGGTTCACAAGTGAAGTCAATCAAACACTCAGAGAACAATGAATTACTATATGTAAAATATTTGGAAAAATAAGTGGAGTCATAATAAACTCCTTTTATGACAAAAAAATGTGGTACAGATATCTAAAACGTGAAGAGCTAAAAGAGAAAAAGAAAATTGTAGATCAATTTCTCTAGTGAATATCCATGCAAACATTTTGAGCAAAATACTAGGAAGGCAATTGCGACAACTTAGCACAAGGATTATATACTACGACCAGGTGGGATTTGTACCAGGAATGCAGGGTTGGTGCAGTATTAGGAAAACTATAAGCACAACTGACCATATCCATAAAAAACCAACAGATATCATATGAATATCTAAACAAAAGCTGAAAAAGCTTTTGACAAATTACAGTTCAGATTCCTATTAAAAACAATGGAGAGCATAGGAATATAGGGAGCATTCCTTAAAATGATAAGCAGTATCTATCCAAAACCTTCAACAAGCATCATCTATAATAGAGATAAGCTAGAAGCCCTGCCAATAAGATCAAGGTGAAGGAAGAATGCCCATTACCACCACTACTGTTCAATAGTGTACTAGAATTGCTGGCTATAGCAATAAGAGAAGAAAAAGAAATTGAAGGAAATAGAATAGGCAATAGGGAAACAAATTTATCGCTCTTTGCAACTGATATGAGAGTATACTTAGAGAATCCTAGAAAATCAACTGAAAAAGTACATGAAATAATTAACAACTTCAGCAAAATTGCAGGATATAAGATAAATCCAAGTAAATCATCAGGAATTCTTTTTTATGACCAACAAAGCTCAGCAGCAAGAAATAGAAAGAGAAATTCCATTCAAAATAACTGTAAACAATACAAAATACTTGGGAGTCTACCTACCAAGACAAACCCAGGAACTGTATGAACACAATCACAAAATGCTTTTCATACAAATGAAGTCAAATCTGAACAATGGGAAAAATATCAATTGCTCATGGGTAGGCAAAGCCAACATAATAAAAAAAATCACAAGTCTGCCTGAAACCAATTTATTTATTCAGTGCTAATAAAACTGCCAAGAAGAGTATTTGACAGAACTAAAAAAAAAATCACCAAAAATTCATCTGGAAGAAAAAAAGGTCAAAATATGAAGGGAATTAATGAAAAAAAAAGTACAAAGAAAGGTGGCCTAGCAATACCAGATATATAGCAGTAATCATCAAAACTAATCTTGTATGTAAGAAATACAGTGGTGGATCAATGGAATAGATTAGGTACAAAAGACAATAGTTAATGACCACAGGAACCTAGTATTTGATAAACGCAAAGACCCCAGCTTATGGCAAAAGAGTTCACTATTTCACAAAAACTGATCAGAAAACTCAAAAACAATAAGAAATAAACCAACATCTCACATTGTATCCCAAGATAAGGTCAAAATGGGTGCATGATTTAGACATAAAGGATGACACCAAAAGCAAATTAGAAGAGCGAGGAATCAAGGAATGTGACCTGTCAGATCTATGGGTAAGGGAAGAAGTTATGACCAAATAAGAGATAGAGAGCATTATGAAATGTAAGATAGACTACTTTGATTATATTCAAATAAAAAGCTTTTGTACCAATAAAACGAAGAGTAGAAGGAAAGCAGAAAGCTGGGAAACAATCTTTATAGCAAGCGTCTCTGAAAAAGATCTCATTTCTCAAATATATACAGAACTAAGTCGAATTTGTAAGAATATAAATCATTCCCCATAATAAACAGTCAAATGATAGGAACAGGCAGTTTTTAGATGAAGAAATCAACGTGATCCACAGGCATATGAAGAAGTCCTCTAAATCACTTTGGATTAGAGAAATGCAAATTAAAACAACTCTGAGGTGCCACCTCACAATTATCAGATTGGCTGATATGACAAAAAATGAAAATGATCAATGTTTGAGAGGATGTGGAGAACTGGGGACAGTGACACACTGTTGGTAGAGTGTGAACTGATAAAACCATTCTGGAAAGCAATTAGGAACTATGCCCAAAGGGCAACCAATCTGTGTACACTCTTTGATCCAGTAATACCACTATTAGTTCTGTATCCCAAAGAGATTATAAAAAACAGAAAAGGACCTACATGTCCAAAAATACTTATAACAACCCTATTAATGGTGGCAAAATATTTGGAATTGAGGGGATGCCCATTACTGAATAAGCTGCTGTGTATGAATATAATGGAATACTATTGTGAGCAGGCAGATTTCAGAAAAACGTGGAAAGACTCGTATTCACTGATCTAAGTGAAATGCATAGAACCAGGAAAACATTGTACACAGTTAGCAGGAACACTATGTGATGATCAACTGTGAATGACTCAGCTCGTCTCAGCAGCACAATGATGTGAAATAAGTCAGATCACGAAGAGCTCATGAAGGAAAAAGCTATTCACATCCAGATAAAGAGCTGACGGACTCTGGATGCAGATGGAAGCATAGTTTCTCCTTTACTTTGTTCTTTTTCAAGTTTTTGTCTTTTTGATCTGTTTTCTTCTTTCACAACTATGACTAATATGGAAATATATTGTACATGATAGCACATGTATGATCCATATCAAACTGCTTGCCAGTTTCAGAAGAAGGGAGGGGAGCGAGGGAGGGAGAAAAATTTGGAATTCAAAATTTTGTAAAAATAAAATGCTAACAATTGTCTTGACATGTAAGTGTGGGGAAATACTATTAAAAAAATTAACATTCAGAAGTGAAGGCTCAAAAAGATACCACACACATCTTTTGAAATATCTGCTCAATGAAAAATCTAAAAATCTAATCTATTACTTTTTAATATTCATATATTTTTATTTCCTTAGGAAGCAATCTTTCCCAAATGTTCCCATGTTGGTGTTAATGAAAATAGAAATAATGGTAGTTCTGTTCTATTTCATATCTATGCATTGTCACTCTTCAAATTTCATAAACAAATGCTCTCAGGATGATCTGATTTAGGCTTCATGTCAAACAACCTACAGGTTTATCTTCTCTTCAACTGCTTTTCATTATTTTGGAAAGCAATACTGGTCTTCATCTTCTATCCTCTTCCTCTTCATTTCATTTTGTTTTATTTTATTTTATTTACAAATTATGTTTTAGTGTAAGCTTGAGTTCATCTTAGCCATAATAGCTCTCTTTTTGGCAGAGATTATGTCTCCCAGCTGATGCCGTTTCTGGGCTCTTTTGGCCTTCTCTTTGAGGCAACTCCTTTGCATTAAACTTTTGAGAAATTTCATATGTCCACTGCCTAGCATAGCTTAGCATATATAGTGCTCGAATGTGTTAAATTTGGAGAAGATAAGAGGGTGCCCGATGGCCATTGATTGAACCTTACTGTCATCAATATTGGCACAAAGAAGGAATAATATAGACAATCCAGCTTGTTAACTGGATAATAGCTATGTCCATTTCTCATCTGGGGGAGTTGATAGCATGCTTAATCACAAGAGGAAACAGCTGCTATGACTACTGTCTGCTTTTCATCTTTATCCTTTTTTCTCATTTATATTAATTTTGACCTTTATTCTGGACAGTCGATGATCTGAATGAATATAGACAACTAATTCCAAAATTATTCCAACAATTGTAATCAGTCCTATTTGTGTGTTAGGATAATGTCAGGTCCTTGTCTTTTTGTTTTGTTTTGTTTTGTTTTTCAATTTTGGTGATATCAAACAAGTTTCTCACATGCTAATGTTAAAATCATACAAGGCTCAATGACCCATGCCACACAAAGGGATAACTTGGTTCAATGAGTAAGTATCAGCATTAAGCTAGATGTAAATTGTGAGGCATATGCTCACCTAAGGTGTTTCCCAGTGTTACATAGGATGTCCTGGACAGGATCCAAATAGAACAGAGATTGTATATGATGGCAAAGATTTACAAATGCTCCTATTTGTGGATGACATTGTGCTGATTGTATCAAGCCCTGGAACAAAAAGCTCCTTGATGAAATCCAAACTTAGTCAAAATGTATTGGTCTAAGAATCCACCCTGAAAAAGTGAATGAAAAGTAAATATTTCCTAGATTACGTAGAGTTGAAAGGACAGCCCCATCTACTTGGTCAATCTATATCTTTGTAGAGGTGTTTATATGTGTCCTAATACACACGCACACTGCTTGAATGGGTATTGAAGAACAGCAGTGCACTGGGCTCATAATTATTGGGAAAAGGAGATTCAACTGAATTTCATTTGAGAAACTATACAGCACTTACAATGACTCCATTGCCACAAAAGTTCATTGTATAAACACCAATATTCTCTCAAGAATGCTATGTGGCCACAGTGATTTTTTAAAAATCCAAAAACCAAAAATAATCTCAGAAGGATCAAAACTGTAGATAATCTCAAAGGCCATGGAAATATGCATGGTGAGTATAAGGAGTTTCAGGCAATAATGACTTTGATGTAGGAAGTGGTATGACAGACATTCTCAAAGACATGGATAAACAAAAAAAAAAAAGAGGATGACCTAATCTTGTATTAAAAATAAAAGCCAGAAAGAATTTTCACTGCACTGTTCCTCATGTATTAAAAGAACCAGGAGAAAGCTTCAGTGTGTTTCCTGGATCCTCTATAGTGGATTTATGGAATGACAATGATGAAAATCATGTAGGATAAGAAGGCATGGAAAGATTAAAATATGTACCAGTCGCACAAGTTTCCACAATGATAAGATCATGGGTTCATCAGAGTATGTCATCGTATTATTCTTGTATTGGTTTGTATTTCTCAATGTGCATATTCTTAAGGAAAAATCAAAAAAAGGAAGAGGAGAAAACACACACTACAATTCTCATGGGTGACATGAAGATTATTTCATAAAGAGAATCACCTGAAACACCAGAGTACAAAACTTCTTTGGGATAATCTTAACTAACTTAAAATCAAATAAATAAAACTGCAAATAGTAATCACCAATTAACCAAGATTGGCAGGCCTACATGAACTGCTTTCTCTGTTGCAGTCAAGAATAATAGTTTTTCTTCTCATACTGGATGTTTTTGGACATTTTTCACCCTTTCACAATGATAACCAGTTTTGATTATTGTTGTTCCATGTGTTCCATGGTTTAAGTTGTTCTTATTATTCTAGAAACTTTTCTCTCTTTATTTTATTTCAAGCAGTAATTACTGTACCTTTTAGTGTTATCCGTGGCATTCACATTTGCTCCATTTTTTAAGAAAAAATCTACCATAGCCAGATTATTTTCTCTAATTGCAACCACAAGCGGTGTATAGCCTTCCTGCAAAATCATGTTAAAGATATTGTTACAATATGTAAAAATTCTATATGTATACATCAATTCAGCTTAAGGCATTTTGTGAACATCCTGTGAACTTGCTAACAATTTGTTAAGTAGGTATGGTACGACGGAATTTTGGAGCAAGAAGACCAATCCTGCTTCTGTTAGTTAATTCCTGTGTGATCATAAGCAAATTATTTCACTTCCTTAGTTTCCTCATATGTAAAATGACAGAATGAAACCAGAGAGCTACAAATTTGTGATTTAGTATATAGAGACCCAGGATTTATAGGAGACTGTTCCATATTATTTCCTTTCTTGCTATCTTTGTGTCATGAGAACTTATTGTCTGCATGCAGCCAACCTTATTTCCTCAGTACTTTGCCAAGCTAAAGCTATACCATGGTCAATTTTACATTTGCCTACTTCTCTTTACCTACTGCCCTTGAGTGTGTATAAGCAGCCTCAAAACTTAAGAAAATCTTGCCTCAAGGTGATTAAACCTGGAAGAAAGTCATTTTCATTGGCATATTCCCTCTCTTCTCAGCCCTCCTAAAGTATGCTTTATGTTTTTTTTTCTCTCTCAACTGGCAGTGACTAAGAGTTAAACCTTTTCCTAAAAATCAGGAGTTATTCAGTAACTATAGAAAGGAAAGGGTATATAGTCTTTAGGAAACAGGAAAAAAAACACATACACTTAAGAATTTATTCTTGCAAAAATTCTGTGTCTGTATATTTTTATACTTAGTAGGAACACATTTTTAAAAAGATTTTAAAAAAACTTATGGCATTTCTACATGACAAATTAACATTGTGTTATCATATGTAAAGGTGTATTGTCAGAAAAAGCATTGTAGGCAAATATTTGGTGGAACCACTGTGTCCTGGGGAGCAGACCTAATGTATCATGCAATCAAAATTCTGGAGAGACAGCTGGGGTGGAATGGGTAGAGAGCAGCCTCGAAGTCAGTAAGACCTAGATTCAAAGCCTGCCACTCACCCACATATACTAGCTGGGTGACCCTGAGGAGTCACTTAACATTTCAGTACCCTAGGACACTGCATAAAGACAGGGTTTCTTAAGTTTTGTTGTATCATGGATTCCTTTCCCGAATAACATTTTTAAATGCGTAAATATATAGAATGTGAAGGAGGCCAATTACATGAAGACAACTATTAAGTCATTGTTGCTTTTTTAAAGATAATGTATCTTGTGTAACAATCCCTAGTCTAAGATTAAATTGTAGAGCAGGCCCTAGTCTAAACCAGTAGAGGGAGTTTCCTCATTAGGAAGTCCAACGTGAGTAAAATCTCCTCCCTTGTTTGCCCACCCCTCCTCCTCCACCTCCACACTATTAGAAAATTCCAAAGGCCAATGGACGTTGACTACAGAATTATTTTAAGTTATTTTCATTAAAGAAATGCTTCCATGAATATATGAATTACAAAATATGTGAATTGGACACCACCTGATTGCACATTTTAACTCACAAAATAGTTTATTATACAAAAGGTGGGTTTCTACCTTGTTTTTTCCCTCAATGTCCATGTTGTGTTTCAGCAGCTTTGCTGCTATAGCTGTGTTCTGTCCAAAGGCAGCATAGTGAAGTGCCGTGTTGTTGTCGGTGTCCACAAGATTGAGGTCCGCACCATGTTCGAGCAGGGTAGTAGCACACTCCTCATGTTGACACCGTACTGCCTGTCAATATAGTACAGAGAAAGAGACAATTAATGCTCTGAGATAAAAATTTAATATACTAAAACATCATTAATGTTATTTAAATAAGTTAGTAAACCATATTTTCTTTTTAAAAAATGTTTAATTTTATTAATTTATTTTGATTTATCAACAATCATTTCCATATACTTTAGAGTTGAAAATATTTCTTCCCCTTCCTCCTCCCCATCCTCCCCAAGACAGCACACAATCTGATATAAGCTTTACGTTTACATTCCTATTAAACATATTTTCACATTAGTGAAGTTGTAAGTAAAAATTAAAACCAATAGGAGGAACCATCAGAAAGCCGAAACAAAACTCAACAGAAGGTAAAAATGAGTGATAGCGATTCGACTTCCATAGTTCTTTCTTTGGACGTGGACAGCATTTTCCATCCCGAGGCCTCTGGAGATGTCTCAGGTCCTTGCAATGCTGAGAAGGATTCAGTATAACAATATTAGTCATCGCATAACGTGGCTGTTATTGTGTACAAAGTCCTCTTGGTTCTCCTTACTTCACTCAGCATCAGACCACATAAGTCTTTCCAGGTTTTTCTGAAGCCTGCCTGTTCATCATTTCTTATAGCACAATAGTATTCCATTACATTCATATACCACAACTTGCTCAGCCATTCCCCAATTGAAGGGCATCCTCTTAATTTCCAATTCTTTGCCACCACAAAAAGAGCTGTTCTGAATATTTTTGTACACGTGGGTCCTTTTCCCATTTGTTTGATCTCTTTGGGATATAGCCCTAGAAGTGCTAGTGCTGGATCAAAGGGTATGCACATTTTTGTAGCATAGTTCCAAACTGTTCTCCAAAATGGTTGGATCATTTCACAACTACCCCAACAATGTATTAGTGTTCCAATTTTCCCACATCTCCTGCAACATTTATCATTTTCCTGTTTTGTCATGTTGGTCAATCTGATAGGTGTGATGTGGTACCTCAGAGTTGTTTTGATTTGTAAATCATATTTTCTTAAGCAGAGAGAAATCAAAAAGCATTTCATTGACCAGCATGATTAACTAGTACATACCTTCATCAAAGGTGTTAGATTATCATTGTCCAGCAGGTTTAGATCGCAGTTCTCTCTACTAAGAGAGCTACAACATCTGGATATCCATTAGCACAGGCCAGGTGTAGAGGTGTCCTACGGAAAGGAGAGAGCTATGTGACTGCTTGATAATGTATTACAACAATCACAATTTTGCACTTATTAGTTAGTGTGATTTCTAACTAAAATGCATTATTCTTATGCCTAGACTCTAAATCACTGCCAAAATGAATATAAATGGATACTACTGTCACCCAAAGAAATATAAAATATGCATTAGCTCTTTTTGCTCGATATGATGGACAAAATTGCCAGGGGTAAAAACAAAAACAAAAACAGATTAAAAATTCACTACATATTGACATGGGAACTCTGCTCAGTTTCTGACCTCAGTTGGTTCACCTCCCTTTAGGAAATTGATGGCCTCTCGTACTTTGGGATTCACCATATTGATGCCAGCCTCAATGCAGACATCATTCTGGCATAGCCCACCAGCTGCAAACTCATGAGTTCAAGAGATCTGCCAGCCTCAGTCACACTGGTAGCTGGGATTACCGGTGTGCATCACCCTGCTTGGCTGTTAAGTGTAATAATAACTTCTTTCCACTAAGAGCATCCATAATTACAAAACATTTAGTAAAGCAGCTGCCTCAGAAAAACATTTACATCTTTGCATATTGTGTATTTGTACAAGCACGTGTGCAAATGTGTGTGCATTCTCCACTAAAATCTTACTGCCACGTGACATTGGACAGTGGAAGTGAATCTGTGCTGCTAAAGGCCATCCCAGCAGGGTGCAAGTTTTGGTAGTTCTACCATGATGGCAAGGTTTTGAAGTAAGAGCCTGGTACGTCGCCGCCTTATAATCTGCCAATTGTGTCTTGCCAAGCCTCAGCCTTGAATCACTGCTGCCTTCTACTGTCTTTCTTCCTATACACTTGCTACTCAATAAAGGTGGAGAAAATCATACAACTGTGTTTACTAGATCTACTATAAATTTATGTTACATAATCTCAACTGGGCTCTCACTGCTGCAAGGCAATCACTTTATATTCTAGCTCCATGGTAAATTCCCTATGCCACTCACCAGAGCAGCTTTGCAACCTTTTAATCCCTCCTCAAACCTCCCTTGGTTCACTATGTACCTTCTCAACTAAAAATCTTGCCTCATATTTTACAGAAAAAACTGAGGCCATTACCTGAGTCCTCCCTGTTCCCCTCCTTCTCATCAACGTACAAATGCCTTCTGCCACTATGTCCTTCTTCAGCCACCTCATAGGAAGAGGTGGCCCTTCTCCTTGCCACTGAGAATGCTTCTACATGTAGAAGTGATACCATTCTATCTTATCTCCTCTAATGGGTTATGCCCTCTATCATTCCTATTCTTATTTATCTTCAATCTTTCCCTGCCTACTAATTACTTCCCTGATAGCCTACATACATTCCCATATCCTCTCCCTCATTCTCAAGAAACCATCACTTGATCAATCTGTCCCCACTCTCATCCCACATCTCTCTTGCCATTTGTGGTTAGATGTGAGGAGAAGGCCTTTGACAACAGCTGTCTCCACTTCTTCTCCTGTCATTTTCTTTTAACACTCTACAGTCTGGCTTCCAAACTCTTCAAAGATACTAATGCTCTCTTAATTGCCAAATCTAATGGTCTTTTCTCAATTCTCATCCTTCTCCTCTCTGAAGCCTTTCAAACTAGACCACTCTTCTCCTTGATATTCTCTTCTCTCTAGGTTTTGTAACACTACTCTTTCTTGGTTCTCCTCCTAAGTATCCCATCCTCTCCTCCTTAGTCTCCCTTTCTGATTACCTCCTAGAATGCAAGGACATTCCCCGCTCCCCAAGTTCTTCGTATCTATTGCAGTTAGTTGGGTGCCTGATACATATAGCAGATGCTTAATAAAAGCAGAAATTAATTTTCTGCCTTGGCATTTTTACACTTCACATATCGTGGCCATGTTTCCCCACATGGGCAGGCAACTAGAATGGACAGGAGTGCTGGGCGTGGAGTCAGGAAGACTTATCTTCCTGAGTTCATGACTGGCCTCAGATACCCATGTGACCCCGGGCATGTCACTTAACCCTGTTTGCCTGTTTCCTTATCATAAAAGGAGCCGGAGAAAGAAAAGGCAAACCATTCTAGTATCTTTGCTAAGAAAATCCCTCAAACACAGTCATGGGTAGTCACACACAACTGAAACGACTCAAAAACTACATTTCACTAGAGAGAGAGTAGTATTTTCCCAAGTTGCCATTGAGAAAATATAAGTTGGTTGGACCCTGGCTCAAAGTAAAATGAAGGAGTTTCCCGTTCATTAAAATTGAACAGGCAGGAAGGTGAGGTGACACCACCTTTCCGGACTTACTATCCAATGTCCAGGAGGGAAAGCCTGACCGTGATGGGAGGTGCTGTCCTGTCCCAGCTGCTGAGGGGAACAGCTTTTCCAAGGGTGAGCAAAGACACACAGACACACAAGGCTGCCGGGGGGAAGGCTTCACTTCTCTCCCCTCTTCCCACTCCCTCTTACCGATTCATTTTATCTCGATCGTTCACACCTGACTTCCTCAGCAGCAGCTGGTGCTGCACCTTCGCCACATCCCCAGTGGAGGCAGCTTTGTGGATCTTCTCCAGGTCCTTGGCCCTAATCAGGTATCCTGAATTAGGATCGGATTCTTGGACCCCGCTGTCCCTCCTCCTGAGGGCGGAGGTTGGAAGTGGATTCACTGTTCGCTTTCTGCGGAAACTGAAAATCTTTTTCATTTTCGCTACTGAACTTCAGAGCCGGTAGGGAGAAATAGGGAGGGGTTTTCTCTTGGCCTTTCAGCCTGCCCGGGGACCTCGCCTCCGCTACAGAGAACTGCAGTGGCCGGAGACTGGAGGTTAAGAGATTCCAGAGCGCGCAACAGTTATAGAAGATTCAAACCTAGTGACAGTTGTAGCCCTGGCAACGCCTCGAGGCAGACAATTCCGCATACATTTATCAGATCCTCCTGTGTCATGCATGGGCCCAATGGAAAAGGCATGCACAGGTGAGTGCTCAGGTGCTGCTTCCATTAGCTCTCAGTGGGAGGGGCCCAAAGCTCTAGATCTGAAAGTGGCTGAGCTCCAGGCTGCTTCGGGCGCTCCAGCTTCTTTCCTCTCTCCGCTGAAAAGGGATGCACAGCAAAGTAGCGGGGATAAGGACGAGGTGTGGCCTAATGGGAAGCGTGCTGGATCTGGATTCAGAGGATTCGGGTTCGAATCCTGGAACCCACTCTGTTACTTGCCTTTGCGAAGATGGAAAAAGTCCTTTTTCTCTCTGAGCCTCAGTTTCTTCTTCTGTCAAATGAAGACGTTGTACTAGATGACCTCCCAAGTGTCTTCCAGCCCTTCATGACTCTGTGAAGCCCAGACTGAAACAAGTGTCATGGGGGTCTGCTCGGTGCCCTGGGACAAATACAGTCTAGGTTCTTCTTTCTTCTGATTATCCCTTCCCCTTTCTTGCTTCCAGGAGGAGGGAGAATGATTTGTATGGGACAGGGAGCCTGGTCCAGGGAGGGTGGAGTTGGCATTAGCCAGGAAGCCCTGGGTTCAAGCCCAGCCTCTGCAGAATTACAATTGCCATATGGATGCTGTTATTAAGGGTGGGAAGGAAGGGGTTACAACAGTTCACTGAAAAAACAAAAGATATGTCAGTTTTCGTTGATCATAAGTTGCTAAAAAAATTAAACATCCTTAGGCTATAGTAATAGAATAATAATGTTTAAATCCAAAGGATGATTCCATTTGACTCTGGCTGAAGAAACGCAGTCCAGCCTGTTGTGTTTAATTATGGATGCTACATATTAGCAGGTGATGAAGTACTTGTGCTCGGACCCCAGTCCTTGGAACATATCTCTCCCCAGCCCAAAGGCCCTATCTCTGGCAGTAATTCATGCGTAGACCCCAGTGAGGCAAACTATCTTTTCCTGTTACAAGAACAAGCTGACCTCTGTAGAATTTTCCTTGTATGAACAAGACTATCTTGTACCAGCAGACCTACCATATACAATCCAGAGGTCAAGCTATAGACGTCAATTCCCAACTCCCCAGGCTATCTTATTATAGATGTAGAGGTGTACAGGTAGAGATTCTTTAGAAGGTCTCCTCCCAGGCCACGCCAATAGCGAACGACACCTGTGCCAAAAGGTACAGAAAGTGTATGTTCACCACCTAATTAGCAAACTTGGCACACCACTCACTGAACTTTTCCTATATAAGCTTTAGCATCACTCCTGTTAAGTTGTGAGTTCCCTAAGAAGCTCTGCCTGCCACAATAGTGGTACAATAAACTTTTTGTCCCTGGACTGGAAGACTACTTGAGTTTGTGAATTCTTTACAGATGACTCTGCCCTGAACCAAGTTATTTTGTGGTCCCTGCACCCCTAAAACACATCAGAGGGAGATTGATAAATTCAGAGAGAAGAGATATGGATGAACTAAGAATGATTAAGATAGAGGAGACCACTGGAAGGCATGTCTATTTTCAAATATGTCAAGGGCCATTGTGAAGACCAGGGAGGCTCCAAAACAGATTGCTAAGACCAGTGATGAAAGCAGCCTGTTTTTGGCTGGTATAAGGAAAAATAAACTTTATAGCAATGGAATGGACTGCTTTTGAGACAATTTCCCTCAAGTAGAAGTTGTCTGACCGCAGTGCTCAAACAATTCTTACATTGATTGTAAGGCTGGACGGCACGATTTTTAAGGTCCCTTCCAACAAAGATATTTGGATTCTCCATATATCATTGATAATGATACTGTTGCAGGATGACACTAGAATAGATCATCAAAGTTGGTTTTGTTTTTAAGGGACATATAATGTAGAGTAGAAGCTAGAAGATTTTTGTTCATTGAAATTAATTCAACCCTCAAGGCATAAAGAAATATCTGCAAAGGGGAATAGAACAGGTTATTCTCAAAGTAGCCTTGTTGTCCCCCCACTTTTGCTTCTCTGCTGCTTTCTATTCATGACATGAATTCCTCTTCTCCTTCTCCATCTTCTCCTTCTCCATCTTCTTCAGCTTCTAAAGCTCCTCGTCCTCCTCGTCCTCCTCCTTGTCCTCCTCCTCCTCCTCCTCCTCCTCCTCCTCCTTCTTCTTCTTCTTCTTGTTCTTCTTCTTCTTCTTCTTCTTCTTCTTGTTCTTCTGCTTCTTCTTCTTCTTGTTCTTCTTGTTCTTCTTCTTCTTTTCTTGTTCTTCTCTCTTCTTCTTTCTTCTTCTTCTTCTTCTTCTTCTTCTTCTTCTTCTCCATCTTCTCAATCTTTTCCTCCATCTTCATTAGTTTCCAAAGCCCCTTGTCCATCTTTCATCCTTCTTCCCTATTTTCTACTTCTTGTACTCCTCCTCCTCCTTCTTTTTCTGTCCAAACAACCAAAATGCAAGTTAATCGTATACATCTTTTGGTTTCTATAGTGGACTGTTTTTGGTGCAGTGTGTAAGTCAGATGATCCATATGTTGTTGGTTTACTTGTGACATGACTTGTCAACATTTCTTCAAGGGATGGACTCTCTCTGTTCTATCAGCCGTACCTGATATCCTACAGAACCTCAATGCTGTCTCTAAATGGCATAATGATAGGGGCAGCTAGGTGGCACAGAGGATAGAGCACTGGCCCTGGAGTCAGGAGGACTTGAGTTCGAATCTGGCCTCAGACACATACTATTTACTAGCTGTCTGACCCTTGGCAAGTCACTTAGCCTTATTGTCTAGCCAAAAAAAAAATAGATGGCATATGATGTTCAATAACATTTTCTATGATCTAGTATCGTGACTACATTTGGGCTATGGGTTGGCTAGTTAGAAGTCCTATTTAACAAGTAACAGAATCTTTACTTACATATTATACTGTGTACAATTTGTGGATAGAAAATTAGTAATGCATTTTACAATTATTTTCTAACATACATACATATATATATAAAATACTTATTGGGGAGAGGGCCAATGTGTGTTACCAAAAAAAAAAAAACGTAGCTGATATATATAGAGAAAAAAATATGGAAAATAAACTAAATTTGTTAATGCTTAAAATATACAGGCAAATTATTAATTAAAAGCTTATGCCTTCGGGCAGCTAGGTGGCACAGTGGATAGAACATTGGCCCTGGAGTCTGGAGGACCCAAGTTCAAATCCGGCCTTGGACACACAGTACTGACTACATGTGTCACCGTAGGCATGTCAGTTAACCCTGATTACATCACCTCCCCCCCAAAAAAAAGCTCATGACTTAATGTCAAATGTTTGGCAGAAACCTGTTATCAAATTTGTGATGTTTAAAAATATTTTCATGAGTTTTTAATGAAGACAAATGAAAATAGACTAGATGAAAGCTAGTTGAAAATGGACAAGTAATTTTTATTACAACTATTATTGGTGATACTAATAGCTCCCCTGTACTTACTATCTTGTGGTTTATCCAGCACTTTACATACTTATCTCCATTTTTACAACAATCTTGTGACATAGGCAGTTTCTTTATGGTTATCTCCATTTCATGACTTGAGACACAGCTAATAAATGACAGGGGCTAGATCTGAACCCAGTTCTTTGGATGCCAAATCTAATAAAGCTATCTGTTATGAAGTTTCTCTTTGGTTTTCCTTTTTATAGGGCACATTTGTGTAATGTGTGCCGTTTTGCCCATCTCTTTTTGACACTATATAGATTCTGTCTATATAGGATTTAGTCTATATATATATGTGAAGTCTTCCCATTGGTTCTCAAGGCAAAACTTAGCTACCTTCCAATTAATGCAAATAATGAATCTTATGAATTAGTCACATTATCTGGATTGCAGTACCTGTTTGAATTGGACTGGAATAAACTGCCATAGTTACATAATTATAACTTCAAATACTGTGAATGTATGGGACAACTTATGGGAATTCATTATTTATACTAATTAACGCTTATCTATATACCCACAGTTCTGGCTTAAAAACCAATGGGGAGGGGAGAGGTGGGTGGTGCAGTGGATAGAACACCGGTCCTGAAGTTACCTGAGTGCAGATCTGGCCTTAGATCAAACACTTGACACTTACTAGCTGTGTGAACCTGGGCAAGTCACTTAACCTCAATTGCCTAAAAATAAAATTTTTAAAAAAGCAAGAGGAAGCTGAAATCCCTGCCCTCCCCCCCCCATTTCCCAAAATGTTCCTGTTTCTTTATGGTGTGCAATCAAAATTCTTCAAAACTTCATGGTAGAGTAGAGTAAGGGAACAGTGGAAGCAGTATATCTTCCAGAGTCAATAGGTGATTGAACAGCAACCTCAAAACGGATGAGCCCAGGAGACTCTGTAAGTTTCAAAAATGAGGCCATTAAAGGTCTGGTTGTAGTATCTTCAAAGTGGTCAGTTATGGTGGCAGCAGCAGCAAGAGTGTGCTGGGAAAAAGGAAGGGTTGCTATTTGAGAAAGAGGAATCATTGGAAAAGATCTTCCTTGAAGATCTGTGTGTATGTGTCTGTGGGTGTGTATGCGTATAACTATGTATATATATATATATATATATATATATATACACACACACAGACACACACAATATACATGTATGTCTATACTTATACATATATATGCACACATATACATATACATACATATACATATACATATACATAGTCCTGCACTGTAATTCCTTTAAGCCCATCATCACTTTCTAAGTGAGAAGGAAACAACCTGTCCACCTGTCCTATTATCTGATGCATGGGAAAGCATTTCTCCTTTCTCTCCTTCCTTTGGGAAACCCTACATTAAAGCCAA